CCTTGCATGGCATGCACTCTAGGTACTGCCCAAACTGTGCTGTGCTTGCGTGCAATGGGAGTATCCACGCTTTTCTCATCATGTGGGTATGTTGACTGATGACTGGATGGCACTTCTTGGTCTCTTGTGATTAAGTTGAACCTGTGACTTGTTCTGGCCAATCAATCACAAGATGTTCTTTCTTCTGGGCTGACACACTTAGACGATAATGTAAGACCCAATTAGGTCTTCATAACAGAGCACTCTCATGCTTATCCACAATGATGACAGTGTTCCAGATGGCATCTGCTCTGTTAGCAGATTCAGAGTGAAAATGATGCCTGAAAGTCCTGTTAACTTTCAATGGACATGCAACACAAGTGAGAAATGGGCTTTTGTTTTTGGCACTAAGATTTGGGGGATGTTTGTTACTGCAGCATAGCTTAGGCATCCCGACTAATTCACAGGGAGAACCAGACAGTCCCTCCCCTCTACTACTCTACATTCATATAGTAGGTGTCCTAAAACACTGCCAGCCTTGCCAGTCAAGGAGGCAGACTATATCCTTTTTTTGCCTTTTTTATTGCAGTCTGGAGGAGGAGGGGCTCCTGTGTTTGCCTTGGTTCTGAGCTCTGATCAATTCAGCCAAAGTGAGGCACAAAGTGAGGGGTGGTGATGATGGCATAGGTGATGGAGTTCTGAAAGCCATGATCAGAAGCTCCTTCTACTGATGATGGAGGAGCCAATGTCCTTATAATCCTTGCTGGTGATCCACATGTCCTTGAATGTAGAGAGCGAGCACAAGATGGAGCCACCTACCCAAGCTCCATATACAGCATATGGACAGGTAGACACCTAGGCAGGGTTGAGGAGGCAGAAGAGAGCAGAGGAAGGCAGATAAGGGACATGCGGATGAAGTGGAAGGGTCAAAGAGGAAAGAGAAGAGAAAGAGAGAGAGAAAAGAAATCAAAATAAAATATGACTTTAAATTGGCCATACAAAATGCCTAACCTCTGAAGGAACCTCAGAGACAGTCATTTCTCTTTCCTAGAAAATACAACTTATTATTAACCATTAAAGACGATAAAGAGTCCACATTTCCTTATGCAGCTTTAAACTTGGATAAAATGAACAAGAGCACAGAAGACTTATACTCTTGGCATTTAAAACCATACACGTTATACTTACACAAAGATTATGGATACAGCATATGACTTTTATGGTAAAACAAGAAAATACAGAAAAGCAAAATCAATGAATCAATTACCAATAATCAAGCACTCTAGCGAAATCCCTTCTACATTAAGGTATTTTTTTTTTTGAGTGGGGGAGGTTTATGGTTTGTGCCATAGGACACATGCACCTATGGGAGAGAGACAGAGAGAGAGACAGTGAGAGGAAAAATGGGAACTCAACCCTCCTCCAGGGGGGAAGGCCGTGCCATAATTCCTTCTCCTCCATTCTCCTCCTGGGATTTGGGGCATGCACACACACACACACACACACACACACACACACACCAGGGTAAATTCAAGCCACCAGATCTGGGACTCAAACCATAGTCAGCCATGTGGAGTCCAGCACCTTAACCACCATGCCACCTGCTGGCCCTGAGGTGAAGTTTTTTAAGACTTTCTCTCACCTTGCTTCACTTTTGCTTTCATACTCAAAATCTGTCAAGTATATCTCTCCTTCAGAGTCTACTCTAGGAGAGAGAAGAGTGCATCTTACGGCCAGTCAAGTCACCTCTGGGCAGTGAGGAGGTAAAAAAAATCTCCATGCCCATTTGTCAAGTGGGGCCACTAAGGCTCAGTAAGGTTAAAGTCACTTGTTTAAGGTCAGACAGGTGTCATTCTTGCATCTTCACTAATGTTTCTTTTTTTTTTTTTTTTTGGAGAGGTTTTCACTATAGGGCGCGTGCGCTTGCCAGACAGACAGGGAGAGACATAGAGACAGAAAGCAAGAAATCACCCCCCAGAGGGGATGGTCATGCCGCAATCCCTTCTCCTCCATTCTCCTCTCGAGATCTTGGGCACGCACACACACACGCCCAGTATGAGTTTTAAGCCACCGGGTCTGGGACATGAACCGCGGTCGACTACGTGGGAATCCAGCAACATAGCCATTACACTAACTGCTAGTTCCTTCACTAATGTTTCTTAACACTCTTAGGTATATAATAATAGAACATGTTTATTATTCTATGACAAAGGAAGGCAAATGCATTACTGCAGTGATCTGTGGGGGAAAATCTCTAATGGGATTTGGAAAGCCCAAGTCCCTGGCAAAGGTGGGAATAAGGGAAAAGTTCTCAGACCCAGTTACCCGATGCCCATTGGCTCTGTTGCATCACAGAACTACACCTGGTATGGAAATCACTTGCTGGTATTTGATACTACAACTTTTTAACATAAAAGAGAGAGTAGGCTGGCTCTGTGACCTGATGGCCAGGGCAGCTAGATCTCACATGGATGCATCTGTGCTGTTTGGACCCAGTAGCTCGAGGAACATGCCGGGCACATGTGCATGCATGCCCAAATCCCAAAAGGAGGGAGAGATGGAGGAGAAGGGATTGCATTATGACCATGCCCCATGGGGAGTGCTTTGTCACTTTCCTTTTATGTTTCTCTCAGGTTAGTGCATACACCCTCTGGCAAATAAATACAATAGAGACCTGATGTGGGTATTTTTGACAGGGTCTCACCACATCATGGTGACCCCAGCCTCCCTGTTAGTTGGGACCATAGATGTCCACCTGGCCTGGCTTGTTTAGGTTGGGCTGGAACCCAGGCCTCCCATGCAGCCTCAGCTATCGTACACCAATGCCCTCCTGCTTTCATTACCATGTGGTTGGGCCTATCACTATAATTTTAAGAAAAATAAAAAAGGAAAAGAGTCGTAAGTAAAAACAGCTTGTTCAAGGGTCAAGACCTCAGGCAGAGAAAATTGCTGATGCAAGTGCCCAAGACCTCTGTTCTATCCTTCCTTCCACTGAAGCATCATGTACCCCACCTGAGTCTTATCCAAAACACAAGCAAAGAAAACTGGAATGATGTACTCATTAAAATAAATAAATAAATAAATAAATAAATAAATAAATACCTAAAAATTATCAACAAAAAAAAAGCCAAAGAAATAGAATAAACTATTATAAAGATATTAAGAAAAAGAAAAAGAAAACAACAACAAACACTTCCCCCCAAAGTCGACGCGCTAGAGGGGATGTGGGTATGAAGCTGTCTTCTCTACTCTGGGTTTGAACGTTTCTGTGAGTAATTTGGCCATACATCCGAAAAGCCTTAATTTTTGCATATATTTATGGTTCTGAAAATCCACAACCAGCAATAGATTCTAAGGATAAAAACAAAAACTCTAAATAAAGAAAGAAAAATATCATGCTGGGCATGCACTCAGGTACCCAGGATCTGACAAGCTAGAGGACTGGAGAATAAGGAGCAAGCATGACAGACCCTATGGAGAGTGCTCTCCATTCTCTCTCTCTCTCTCTCTCTCTCTCTCTTTCTCATATTCAATCTAGTGTATCATAATTAATAATGGCCAAGATTTTAGCACCAGAACATCCATTACAGGGTGGTTTGGGTTGTTGGAAGAAACAATTACTTAGAAAGTTGGTCCCACTGGAATTAGCTGTTTTTTCGAGGTGAGTAAATTTGTTTAAGGGAGAACCTATTCTAGTGAACAATTACATGACCTTTATGGATGATTGCAAGTGAACCTACCTCCCTATTCCTTACAGAGATGGCCTAGATAGGAGAGGAATTTAGCAGAGAGGAGCTAAAATACAACAAATATACAGGAAATGAACACTACATTCAAGCTTCACATGGAGAAGAGATTTATGGGAGGGGGATGCTGGTGCTGGTGAAGATTCAGAGGCATAAAAGAGCTTGGACCAGAGCACAGTCCAGCCATACCTGGAAGGACAAAGACGACCCAAGGAATCCCATTCCCTCTCTTTCTCATATTCAATCTAGTGTATCATAATTAATAATGGCCAAGATTTTAGCACCAGAACATCCATTACAGGGTGGTTTGGGTTGTTGGAAGAAACAATTACTTAGAAAGTTGGTCCCACTGGAATTAGCTGTTTTTTCGAGGTGAGTAAATTTGTTTAAGGGAGAACCTATTCTAGTGAACAATTACATGACCTTTATGGATGATTGCAAGTGAACCTACCTCCCTATTCCTTACAGAGATGGCCTAGATAGGAGAGGAATTTAGCAGAGAGGAGCTAAAATACAACAAATATACAGGAAATGAACACTACATTCAAGCTTCACATGGAGAAGAGATTTATGGGAGGGGGATGCTGGTGCTGGTGAAGATTCAGAGGCATAAAAGAGCTTGGACCAGAGCACAGTCCAGCCATACCTGGAAGGACAAAGACGACCCAAGGAATCCCATTCCTACATGAGGTCAAGAACCTAACTGAGGCATATTATCATATTTTAGCTTATTTTCCATTCCAGGCTAAGCAGTAGCCCTCCTTTCTGATTTAATAAAAGTTCACATATAGAGCCCTGAGTACCCTGGAGAGCTGGGGTAAGAGGGCATAACAGAAACAATGTCCGAGGAGATCCGGGGACTCATGAGTGAGAAGACAGGAGAGTACTAGTTTCTAATATTATATAAAAGTTCGTCGTGTTATATAAGATGATCTGGAGGGCTACAGACTTAGCAAGTAAGGTTTTATAATATTACATACATTTTTGTAATACTATATAACATTATATCAAAAGACAGACTTAGGAAGTGCAAGAGTAGGTGGGATATGGTTTTCTATTATAAATATGTGCAAAAAATATGTACAATTTATATAATATATAAAGAGGACTGCGATCTTAGGAAGGAAGGAGATGAGTAACAGTTGTTTGGTATTATATTAATTTTTGTGTCATATACAAAGCAGGCTAAAGATTTGGACAGTGAGCCAGTAGAGCATTATTTTTGTATAACATTGGTTGATGCATTTGTCTTTCATGGAATTTCTGACTCTTCCCTATTGCTTTGGAGGAAAGGCAGACATTACCCAGAACAAGGGTTGTTGCTGTGCATTCCCTTTCGAATGACACCCTTGTCGACACATTGAGTGGATGCTCAAAGGACTAAGGAAAGATGATTG